TTTGACTTAATTTATGAGTTTTTATATATTTTTTTATTTACATAAATTAATTTTTGATCGAAAAAAATATTTGAAAATATTTTATAGGCAAGTTTAATCATAAGAAAATTTAGTAAAATATTTTATTTTATTTTATCTTTGTTTTTGATATATTTAAAATTATTAGACTTCCATATTTTATTCGTATTAAAAAATATTAGGGAAGTAAGCTTAACCTTCTGAAGGTTAACTAAAATATAGAATATATTTTACAGTGTTTTTTTTTTATATATATATTTTCTGCATAAGTAATTTAATTTATGGTTTGGAAAATAATAAAAAAAAATATTCATTAAGCGAACTTATCTTCAGAAAGTCTAGTAACACACCATTTATAATTTTTTTTTTATTAATAATATTGTTTTTGTATATATTATCTACATAAAGAAATTAATTATGCATTCGAAAATAAAAGAAAATAATATTTAAGCTAGCTCGCACAACACAAAATCTATAAAATCACCTTAATTTTTTTTCTTAAATATTTGTTTAATCAAAATCAACATTTTTGAGCCACCCTGAAAGAGTTTTTCTGGACTCTGGGCAATATTTTGGAAATCTGAACAGCAGCAAAGCCACTTATATACATTTTTTTGCAATAAATATGAAGGATAAAAGGGGTGAGAGAAGGAGGAGAAAGGAGAGAGGAAAAAGTAAAAAAGAGATATGAAAACACGAAGGAAAATGCAAGGATTTCACAGCATGAAATGCCAATTGAAATGCGAAGCTCCCACAATCGACATTCGCTCTGGCAAGGTCAAGGATCTCCCAAAAGGCAAAGATCTCCCTTGAACTTTCTTCTATTTTTTTGTTTTTTTTTTTTAGAAACAAAAATTAACCTGTGTCACAACCTGTTGCAGCTTGTAACGCAACGAATATTTCAATTACACCTCCTGTTCTTGGGACGTCCTTTTCGCAGGGAATTCATCTTGTTGCTCCTTTGGGCGGCCCCCCTTTTCAAGGCTTTCTGGGCCAAAAGGGAACTCGGTTTTGGGCCTGAATGTTTTGTTTAACACCTTCACGTGATTCCGGCATTTATTAAATTGCTTTGTACTTTGTTGCCATTTCCGTCTCGCTGCACGACTGAAGCCAAACATGCGACGTGACGAATGCGACAGCGACTGCGAATGCTAATGCTCCTTGAGGGGGTGGGTTGGGGTGGTGAGGGGGTGCTGTACAGCGGCGTCCTTACAGGAGGTGCTTTCAGGCTTCCTGAGGTTACCGCAGCGCCGAGCACAATAACAATAATGAGGTGTATTTTACAAAATGCATCTGGACGGCACACTGAGAGAATTAGGTTAGTTTTTTGGGATTTAATTGATAAAAAAATAAAAATATATTCTTAAGATTAATTTTGCGAGTTATTATAACATAAACTTTATGACAAAAATATTTTAAATATTAATTTTAATATAATTTAATTGTTTAAAAATTTGATATTGAGGAATTTTATAATTTGAATGAAATTTTTTATTTTTTAAATATTAATTTTAATTTAATTGAATCTTTTAAATATTAGTGTAATAGAATTTCATAGATTAAATTAAATTAATTGAAGATTAATTAATTTTTCGAGCCCTTTTTTGTCTCTGTGTAAGGGCAACTCTTAGGCACCTTCACGCCTTATCCTTAACCCCCAGCCCTACCTTTATACCGCACACCACCCCTTACACTACTCCCTACCCCACTCCCTACCCCACTCCCTACTCCACCCCCTACTCCCTACCCCTCTCTATATTCCCCTCCCTCACCCATCTTCATCAGAGTCTCTGGCGACGCAAATTTGTCTTTTAAATTATGCGCATCTCTGGGAAAAACAGGCAGGGCCAGAGCCATAGCCACAGCCAGAGTCATACGGACTGACTGTCCATGGGTTAAGGGTGCTTCAAAGGTGAGCCAGGCAGGTAGGTAAGGGTAGGCAGAGGAGCAGCAGGGGAACACGTCCTGGGACAACGGAGCGCGAGCGTTTTAAAATGCGACGCATGACTTTCATTTCACGTTGTTTACTTCGCATGCGGTCGCGTGATTTTCATACGGGGGCGAGAGAGAATTTTCCCAGCTCTTCAGGAGGGGGGGTGTGGAAAGCCAGGGAGGAGGAGGAGGAGGAGGGGGACAACAGGCAGGGTTGAGGCGGCCGCGGCACGATGCGGCACGTGTCAACAGTGGGAAATGGGTTTTTAAGGCGCCGCAACGTATGCTACAGTTTCTTTGGCTACAACTTTTGTTTCAATTACGATTACCTGTTACCTGCAGACCCCACGTCACCTCACCCCACCTCCTCTAACCCAGCATCCCTCGCCTCTCGCTGCATTTGCATGGACTGTCACGCTCAGCACCTCACCTTCGCCTCCCCCAAATAAGTTTGTTGATGTATTTTGATGATTATCTGTGTTGCTAATACGTGGCCAGTGTTGGCAAGCGACTGGCGCCGGGAGGGAGTGTTGGGCGGCGCCCCAAGGAGTTCTTAGACTTGATTAATATATAATAGAGTTCGCCTTGGCACATAGGGGAAGGTAGAAAAGGTTGAAAAGTTGCTGAAGGGGCGGAAATTGGTTTATGTGTGTGTGTTGGGGGAACTTTACTTTAGGAAAGGTTGTCTTGAGGGTTTTTTTTTATAAAATAATATAATAAGAGGAGGCTTGGAAATATTTAAGGAATATTTATAGTCTAATTGCTGAAAAAATAAATAAAATAATGTAAAAAAATACAGTAATAAATAAATTAAAATAAAATAACAAAAAAAATAAAATAATAAATAACATAAAAAAATAAAATAAGAAATTAAATTAAATAAAATATAACAATAAATAAAATAAATTAATAAATAAAAAGAAAAAAAAAAACAAAAGAATTTAACCAGGATAAATATAATTTTTATAAACTTTCTAGGTATTATAATTTTAAATCTTTAATTTATTATTTGAAATTAATGAATTTTTTGTTAATTGAATTCTTAGAGTTTAATTTTCCCAAAAATGCTTTCCGAATTAAATTCAATGTATTTTATACTGCGTTAAAAATTTTAATTTTTTCTGAAAAGGTATTTAAAAAAAATTCGCAAATTTTTAAAAATTTTATATGGGGTTACATCGTTTTTAAAAATTGTAATAAAATTAGAAATAACCTTAAATGCAGTATGAAGATTTTTTAAGATTTATTATTATATAAATTAAGCCTTAATTTTCCCATAAATTATCATCTAAAAATATGTCTAAATATTACAATTTTAATACCCCCTTGAGGAAATCTAGCAACGTCCGTAGAACCTTAATTCCTCTTACAATTGTTGAATTATCTCCCATTTTGTTACACATAAATGTTGCATTCCTTTAAAATCTAACTCAAAAAGTCTGTAAATTCAGGCTGCTTTTGGAAATTAGCACAGGTATTTGTGCACCTGAGAAGCACAAGAGTAAATGTCACCATATCATCGGCACTTGGCATATTTTCAACACTTATTTCGACTTATTTCGGGTTGCCAAAATACCAATGCTAATGGCAACACCCTGCAACTGGATGATATTGCAGCCTTCAGCACCGATTTCCAGCCCTGACAGTCTTTACCCAAAAAATAATGCCATGTCATATTTTTGCCTAAATTCGGTGCCACTCCCCCTGTGAGGTGTGAGTGCACGTGGCATATAATACACCTAAAATGCCGCCGGAGCCATTTGACTCCGATTTCGGTCTGTGGCCAAGTGAAATTTATATGGCCAGACATAATGAACTTGAGGCACTGGCACGTAGAGCCTCCTCCCTCCTCCCTCCTGCTCCCAAAAACCCCTCCACCACCACCTGTGTTTCCCCCCTGTGCAAGTTTGGTAACATTTCACTTCCACAGCCCAAAGTGCAGTTTGGCCGGTTGACTCTGCTCGGTTTGCTTTTGGATCCTTTTGGGCATTTTGTGGGGGCCTGTCTAAAGGGTGACCTGGGGTTTCCCCAGCTCTACACAGAAAGAAATGGTATACCTTTAAGAATATCAAGAAGTTGAGGTTTTTTGTGTTATTTGTTAATCAATTCAAAAGGCTTTGAAGGCAGTGGTGTCGTGGTCGTGGTCGCTGTCGGTGTCAGTGTTGTAGTCGCCTTCGTAACCGGCCTCTGAGACCGCATCGTAGTCTCGGTAAATAAGCTCATCCTCCATGATCTCCATACTGTTATATTCCATACTGTTATATTCCAAACTGTTATATTCCGTGTTCTTCTTGACTCGCTTGACCGGACGCTCCATATCGGTCATGTCCTGGTCCTGGTCCTGGTCCTGCTTCTGGTCTGGGTTGGAACGCCTGCGGCTAATTCGGCGATGTTTCTGCTCCACAGAACTCGGTGGATCGTTGCCGGAGGTGTCCATGTCGAGGAAGAATATATGGATTCAGTCGTGGTGAAAATGGTAGTTGTCTAAGCCGGCGGTAGCGGTGGGTAAATTTTCCTTAAACATTATGTGATTTTCACTTACGTTTTCGTATGTAGCTTCCAAATGACTGGGCACAAATTTAAAGTGACAGATAGATATGGATAATACCAGGCCTTTAACTATCGATAGATATCGATGGTTAAAAAGGATTTTAGGATGATATAGAATTTTCTTTGAAAATGTCTATAGTTTTATTTAAATGTAATTTATTATTTTATTTATAGAGAGTGAGAGAGAGAAAACACACGTCAGCCTCTGAAAGTGTAGCCGAGAGCCGAGCTGATAAGCTCAGCTTAGCTCTCAGTGTGTGTGCTCTCATACAAGCGGTGTGTGTGTGTGTGTTACACACTGCTTTAAAGAGAGCGCGCACACTGAGAGCTCAGCAGAGCTTATCAGTTATCAGCTCCGCTCTCAGCTCAGCTTCCACACGCTAGTGCGTTTCTCTCGATCAAGCTCGCTCTCTCTCTCGATCAAGCGCTCTCCCTCTGGCTACCTATAATAGAGGCCGCTTAGCCTCTGCAGCTTTAGTCAGTGTTACTCGAGGGGAGGAGTAACACGTGTGCTCGCCTCCCCTCGCCTTCCCTCGCTTTCCCTCGCCTCCCCTCGCTTTCCCTCGCCTCCCCTCGCCTACGCTCGCGTCCCCTCGCTTCCCCTCGTGTTTACCTGTGACGTGTGCCTTCCCAGCCGGCTGGATGACCGCGCAAAAACAACAAAAATCGCAGCAATCGAAGGAATTACTCAGCGATTAATCTTAATTAACTGTGAATCTTAAATATAAGTTTTTTATATCTTAAAATTCTATATAATTTTATAATTTATGAATATCATTTAGTAATAGTTTTTTTAGTGTTCCCTTTAAATGCGAATAGTTTTTTTTTTTTTAAATATAATTTTATAGGTTTTAAATAATTTTTTAAATAATTTATATAATTTTTTAAACGTTCTTTTCGTTGTTACCAACGATTTCCCTTAAAATGTCAATAGTTTTTTTATACAAATAATATTTATGTATTTTAAAAATATTAAAAATATTATTTATAATTTTATAATTAATTTTGATTATTTTTAAATCACTATTTTTGTGTTACCAATAATTTTCCCCTAAAATCCCAATATCCTCATAATCTATATAATTTTACAAATTATTTATATAATTCCTTATTCTCTTTTTTTTCAGTGTTGCCCAGCCTGCTACCCCATAGGAGGCAGAAGCAGGAACGAACGGCAGTCGCCAATGCATTTGGTGATACATAAACTAAACTGCGCTGTGAGGGTTCCTATCATCCGGCACTGCTCTGCCCCACCTCTGCTGCTCCTCCCCCTTCCCACCCCCTCCTTTTCCACGCTCTCCCTGGCCGGGAAAACAGCATGAAAATCATATTATAAATAAATTATGCAATTATAATTACACAAGAAAACTACTTGGGGCAAAACAACTTGTGCAGAGAGCGAAAGAGACGGGCATAGCCGTAACGAAAGAGATGGCAACACACACACAGGCACACACATGGTCAGGAGGAAGCCAGGACTCAGCCAGGACCCGGCCAGGAGAGCCGTGCTGCTGCTGCCGTGCAAGTCCCTTGCTGGGGCTAAAAATCCTCCTCAAAGTTGTCATGCCGGGGCGCGTGAAGCTTTCCCATTTTCCCCAACGCCATTTGCTCCATTTTCCAGCATTTCCTTCTCTGTTATCCTTACCTCCCCCCTCCCCTGCCATGTGCACAAATAGCACAAGTACAGGAAAATAATTACATTTTACGTGTTCCTATTAATCTTGCTGAGTTTTTAGTTTCAGTTTTAGTTTTGCCCACTAATTCACTTGCCTCCCCTCTCCAAACACCCTCTCTCTCCCACCCCTAACAGCAGGGCTTTCTTCACCCTTTTTCTCGAATTCAATTTTCTTGGTTGAGTTTGCTTTTTACTTCAGCTTGCCCGAAGAAGTTTTACCCGGAAAATACTTTGGCAGTCCAGTGACAAACAGCTCTGAAGTGAGTCATTTTCTCCGAGAGAGAGAGAGAGAGAGAGAAGGGGGGAAAAGCCAAGGGAAAACAATATCAATAGATGGACACACACAGGAGTCTTACAGGTAAACCTAAACCCTTTCAGGTAATCACTTAAATCGCCCTCAAATCAAATTAATTGGAGGCGCAAAAATGTACAAAACCATTTAGACTAATGACAAGACATGGCTTCACCTGAATAATTTATGCAATCGCTTAATTGCAAGATTTAACCATAAAACATTGACACCCCAGAGAGGAATATAGAGCGCCGGAAGTGGTATGTATATTGGGATCGAAATGGTATAAGTTTTTGAATAGGAAAAAGGATTTTAATGGAGGTTTATTTTATATAGAATAAATATTTCTTAATATTTTAAACAATTTGTAATTATTAGGATGGTTTTTAAGGTGCTTTTTCATGGCCTTTAATTGTATTTAAAATTTTTCATAAAAGAAAAGTCTACTTAAGGGATAAAAAGATGGGAAAATCTTGAAAAATCTGGCAGGACTTTCGTTTCAAGGTTTTTTTTCATTTCCTTGAAATATATTTATAGTTTTCCTTAAAGAAAAGTCATTATTATAGTTGAAAAGCTGAGAAAATCGAGGAAAATTTAAGCAAATCTTGGAAAATCTAGCAGGACTGCCGCACAAAAGTATATTTCAATTAATTTCCAATGTCTAGAATACTTTTTAAGGTATTTTTTCATAGCCTTAAATTGTATATATAATTTTTTTTAAAAGAAAAGTCTTTATAAAGGATGAAAAGCTAGGGAAATCTAGGAAAATCTAGCAGGACTTCCGCACAAAAGTATGCCCTGCTCGAAGGCCGACAGAAAAATGCAGCAAATGAGTAGGAAAAGTTGCAGAAAACAGTTTTCAGCTTTCGGCTTTTGGCTTTAATGGGTTTCCGGGAAAGTCCCTTTTTCAACTGAGAAAAGGCGAGTGGGGTGTGCGTGTGTGTGTGTGTCAGTGGCCATGATGTTGCATGCAACTAATTATGCTTTTTACCATTCGGTGGTTTGCTCTTTTGCCACTTAGCAACAACATAAGCCGCTTAACCCACTAAAGCCGCAGCATACATGAGAACGCACACACACAGACACCCTCTGGTACACACGCACACACATAGGCAAATCTCATTAAAGTTGCCAACATGTTTCAAAATTAATTTCAGTAATTCTCCACTTGACTGCCGCTCTTTGCGAATGCGTTTGATGGCAGCCCCTGGTGGGTCCTTCCTTGTCCGTGGGACAGGAAGTGGACCCAGGAGCCAGGACGATCGTTCGAATGCAGCAGCAACAGCAGCAGCAGCGGCAGCATTCGCAGGATAATCGCATCACTCGAAACTTTCGCCAAAAACGGCAGAAAATTAAATTGGCTTGCAGCGGGGCATCCTGGCAAAGGGGTGTTAATAGCGGAAAATCCAATGGAAAATCCCAGGAAAAAAGATATGGAAATATGGAAAATATTTCCTAGAAACAAAAGCAAGAATCTCTGCAAAGAGAAATATCCAAAGACAGTCTGTGAAGAGGAAAACTGGAAACCCTATATGAAAAACCACGAGAAAAGCTTAAGAAAATTCAAGAAAAACCTACAAAAATGCTTTGAGGTATAAGGTAAGTTATAAAAATAAATTCCAAGATATATTTCCATTTTTAAATAATAATTTTTGCAGGTAAAAATAATAATTACCAATATTATTTAATTGAAAATTTTGAAATTAGTTAAAAGCAAAGGTCTTGCTGCTCTGCCAGCTCCATCAATAACCCAACAACCTGAGGGTCAAGGCAGGACTAGCAGGTCTCCGGCTTAGTCTCCAGCTGAGTGGTGACCACCGATGGCCGCAAAAATGGGCTACGCCGCTCCACTCAAAGTGCCCTTTTAGATCCCATTGCCACTGCAGGCATCTGTGTGAAAGGAAGGCAGGAAGGGACCTGGGAGCAAGGAGCTAGAGAGAACCAGGAGCCAGCCAGGAGCCAGCCAAGAGCCAGCCAAGAGCCAGAAGGGTGTCATATAGAATGACATGTGGTGGCTGCGGAGTGGATGCGGTGACCTCCAAGGTGGACAGGGGGGGTGGGTGTTGCGACAGGAGCTTCTAGCCAGGCGAACTTCACTTAATGTCAACTTAATTGCATTGTTTCAGCCACAAATTACAAAACGAGTTTTGCACAAGGCAGCAAACATGTCGTCACTGGCTCCAGTTTCCAGCTGCTCCAGGTCCAGCTTCTCCCTCAATTTACCTATGCCAGCACTGAAAGAAAAGTCTAGAAACACTTGGGAAGGAACAGGTATATAAATTTGTATTTATTTTATTTTTTAACAATTTTTTCTTAATATATATTTAATTTATCAGAAGTAAACACCTTCAGGAAACCCACTAGAAATTTCAAACAGTGCTACAAAATATATTTAAAAATCAACAGGTACGAAAATTAATATTTATTATATTTTTAAACACACTTTCTCTAAAAAATATTCCATTTACCAGGGTTAAAGACAAGTTTACAAGCTACTTGGGATTTAAAATATATTTGAAAAGGTACAACAAATTATTATTATTTTATTTTAAATATTTTTTTAACACATTTTTCTTAAAATATATTTCATTTAACAGAAATAAGGACCTCCAGGAAGCCTCTAAGAAGGCTAAAAGTGCTAGAAAATATTTTTAAAATTCGAAAAACAGGTAAAGAAATATTTATTTAATTTATTTTTTAACAAACTTTCTCTAAAATATATTTCATTTAACAGATACAAAAACCTCCAGCAAACTTCGAAACTCTTAAAATCTAAAATATATTTAAAAATCGAAAAACAGGTAAGAAAATTAATATTTTAAATATTTTCCAACAAACTTTACCAGGAATAAACCCCTCCAGGAAAGCCACTAGAAATTTCTAACAGTGCTGCCTTCAACACAATGGCTCCGCCTGTGTGTGTGTATGTGTCTGTCTCTAGGACCAGCACCTGTAAAAAGAATCAATTGTGTGTGACCAAATTAAGTTCACTGACTCACCCACACACACACACACACCACCCAGAGCATCCTGGGTCTGCAGCAGCTCCAACTGGGAGGGAGCACGCTGCCATTGTCAAGTGGAAGCCAAATGGGGATTCATTTGAATAGAGTGGCGGCCGGCGGAGCGCTGATGGCGGGGCCAAAACAAAAAAAGGACTGCAGGTCCTGGCCAGTGCACGGGACGCACGCAGACACGAAGGACGAAGAGAAGAGTGAATGGCGAGGAGGCGGAGGACAGCCGTGTAAATGGGGAATGTAACCAAATTGAAAACAGAACAGAGCATCACTTTGAATGCACTTTCCCGGGAGGGAGAGAGGTGCAGGTGAAGGTGGAGTAAGGAGCAGCAAGGTGAGTCCTTCCTTCCATTACCAGACCCGGTAGAAACCTAATTGAGGCTGCTCTTCAAACAGCTTGGCGATCGCAAACAATCTTTGATCGGACGTTCAAGAATGAGGGCTTATTACCCATTTGGACAGTGCAACAGGGCGTATACTTGATGGCGATACTATAATCGGTATATATCGATAAAAATCGATACAAAAATCTACAGAATGCGCATATTTTGGATAATTTGAAAGGCAAAAAGCACAGGTAAGTAGCGGATCTTATGATTCTCTTATTAAATCTTCATTTATTATTTATTTAAAATTAAAAAGAATTGATTAATTAATTAATTATAAGTGAAATATCTAAAATTCGCATTGAAAGTTAGACAAAACCGGAAATTAGTTCATTTCCTATTTTAAATTTTGCTTTGTCCCAGAAATTTAAATATATAATTATTGATAAATTTACAATTGAAGTTTTTAGAGTGAACAAATTTGCCCACTATTTATCCTTCTCTTTTTTTTATGTTTTTATTTTAATTAACATTATTTTTCTTTTAAAACTTTACTCTTAAGATGATGAAAATTCCCACATACAGATTAGTAGATCTGCTTCTCTGTTATATATATTATTATTTTAATGAATATTATTCATTTTTTAAAAACTTTAGTTTTCCTTTATTATATTCTGTATAATGTTTAACGGCCTTTTAAAATTTTTATTTTTATTTAAAATGAATTAGCATATTCTAAAGAGCTAAAATCGGAGGTATATTTGTGATTTTGTAGACTTATCTTAGTCTTGATTTTTAATTTTAGAATTTTTTGTGCAAATTCATTTTATTATTTTTATTATATTTTATTTTTTTTTAAGGGGAATTTTTAAAGTTTTTCTTGAATACTTTGAAGCAATGGCCAACTCTTTGACCAGATTTGAAGTCTGCATTCTGTTAAGCCTGGGATTCTTGGTAGCAAAGGGATTCAGGCCAGCATTTGAGGGGGGGAGGGGGTTGGGGAAGCTGCCTTCTAGGTGGAAAATGGAGAGAGAGAGAGAGAGAGAGAGAGGGGGAGAGGCAGCGGGGGGAGAATGGGATTCTCTGGCATCCTTGGGCCTTGGAAAAGTTGAGGTCGTGTGCATGTGACAAAAGCATCTGCCTTTTGTTTGGCTCGGCGCCCTTGGCTTTTGCCCAACCCCCACCAGTGTGTGTGTGTGTGTGTGTGTGTGTCTGTATGAGCTGAAGCATTCAAATAATTAAACTCATCAAGCCGGGGCTTCTTCCTTGGCGCCCGCTCCGTTTAGTCTAATCTTCTTTGTTTTCTTTTTATTACAAACAAGAAGAGAGAGTGGAGACACCGAGGAGTCCTAGAAGCTCTATACGCTCACACCGCAACCGGAAAAGCCTCCTCCTCCTACACACACACACACACATGTCCATGGACTGAGCACGCATAATCCTTGATCTTTTGTTAGTTGTTTGCTCAACTTCTGGCTGAGCCTCAGCCTTCCCCTTACTCTATTTGTTTGAGGGTTTTGCAGACCCCCCCCACACACTCCCCCTCTTCACCCCCTTCCTGCCCTGCCTCTAAATTATTAATTAAAGTATTTAACAAATATGCTAAAGTTTGCCGGAGCTCTTGTGAGTCTGTGTGTGTCGCCTGGTTTTCCGCCTTCATTTTTGCCCCGTAATCCTGGACACGGAGTTCATTCCGTCGAGTTAATAATGTGGCCAGGACACACACATACATTTAATATATTTGTATGTATAGTATATATGTATATGTGTGTGTGTGCTTAAAATGGAATAGGTAGAGTTTCGGCGAATGTGTGTGTGTGTGTGTGTGTTGACACTGCATCTTTTTGATGTACCGGTTTTGCCGCATCAAAGGCGACTCGCAAAATAGTTGACATTTTCCCCCCCACTAAACTATACCCTCCCCCTACCCCTCCCCCCTCTGTGGAAATTCCTTGACTCTCGTAATGCCATTCCCTTTTCATTTGCAGACCAAAAGCTGGCTGCTGTGAAATACCTTTGCCTCAAAGAAGGTCCATCCTTTGACAGGCAAAAGAATAAACCAAAGCCAAGATTTAAGGGCAAAGACAAATTTCTAAATATAGAAATGTAAATATAAATATAATATAAAATATTTACATATTTATGCATTCCTTTTTTTGTAAAATAATATTTGAATTTAATTTAATAACAAACAAAACAAATTTATAAGAAATAGTTGTATGCATTCCTTAACCACAAAGGCTTTCTTTCAAAACAAGACAACAGAAGTGGAGGAGTAGAGAAATTAACAACTTAAATCAAATATTTGTATTTTTGTACGTTTCATAAATCAATTGTATTTGATTTTCAATATTTATTGGCTCTGCAAAATGAGTAGAGAACCAAAAGCTAGGCTCGAACTTTTGTCCTGGGAATATCATCAGCATCAGCGCCTTCTTCTTTTTCCTGCCGTCGCCAAGCCTGCGACTACATTTACCCCGCTGCCAAGCACATTTACGTAAGCTGATTACAGCTCTCTCCTTGCCACAACTGGCTTCTCCGTTTTATACCCTTGCAGGGTATTTTATTTTCAGTCCGAAGCTATTAACGCATTGAAGGAGTTATTTCCGACCCCATAAACCATATATATTCTTGATCAGCATTAACAGGCGCATCTTTCTGGCCATGTCCGGCAAAAAAAATTTTTTGATCAAATTTTTCAAAATTTTATAAGGGGTTACATCATTAAAATTTTTGATTTTGATAAAAAATTTAATTTTCAAAATTTAAATGAAGTATGCAGATTTATTAACTGTAGAAAATCTTGCACAGAACAGTTTTCCGATTTAAAATTAATGCTCTTTTGGCCGAGCTTTGATATTTTTAATTTTAAAAAAATCAAGAAGTTTTTTAATATAAAAAATCAGATTTTATAATACAAATAATATTTTTCTAAGTCAAGGAATCATTTCCGACCCCATAAACCATATATATTCTTGATCAGCATTAAAATACGAATCGTTTAAGCCATGTTTGGAGGAAATCAAATTTTGAGCCATTTTTGCGAAATGTGATAAGGGGTGTTACATCATTAAAATTCTCAATTTTTGACCTAAAATTTTTTTCTAACTAAGTATGCAGATTTATTAACCTCATAAAAACTAACACAGAACAGTTTTCCGATTTAAAATTAATGCATTTTTGGCAGAGTTATGATATTTTTTAATATAAAAAATCAGATTTTATAATACAAAATAATATTTTTTTAAGTGAAGGAGTCATTTCCGTAACTGTAGAAAATCTTGCACAGAACAGTTTTCCGATTTAAAATTAATGCTCTTTTGGCCGAGCTTTGATATTTTTAATTTTAAAAAAATCAAGAAGTTTTTTAATATAAAAAATCAGATTTTATAATACAAAATAATATTTTTTTAAGTGAAGGAGTCATTTCCGACCCCATAAACCATATATATTCTTGATCAGCATTAAAATACGAATCGTTTAAGCCATGTTTGGAGGAAATCAAATTTTGAGCCATTTTTGCGAAATGTGATAAGGGGTTACATCATTAAAATTCTCAAAATTTGATAAAATTTTGAATTTTTAACTAAGTATGCAGATTTGTTAACCTTATAAAAACTAACATAACACAGCTTTCCGAATGCAAATTAAGGCATTTTTGACAGAGTTATGCCTTTTTTAGTTTTTAATTTTTTGTTTTTCTTATTTCGATTACAGACTTTCCATCGTCATTGCCATCGCCATCGCTCCTAGTCATCAGTAGCAGTAGACCTGACACCCACCCGGGCCAAGAACCAAGGGAAAGGACCAAGGACACACGCAAAAGGATGGTGAATAAGGGATGGAAATGGAGGAACAGGGATCAGGAATCAGGGATAAGGAGAGAGCACCGCCAGTCAGGTCTGCCGGCTACTTTTAGAACAACAGCAACGAATACAACAAGCAACATTTTAATTTTAAAATTATTCTATGTTACTGAACCTAAATAAAAACTTTATTGCCGCTTTAAAAGGCGTTTTCCTAATTTTTCTTTTATTTTCCAGGTTCAAATCAAAAAGTAAAACTTTTAGGCATTTTTAAATATTATTTCGTAACTTTTGCGTCATCTTTTGGGCTGAATTTCATGCATTTTTGGCCGAGTTATGAGGGTTTTTTATAAATTATAGGCATCTCACTAACTGCCAGTGATGCTCATCTAGCTATTTTGCTATATAGCTGATAACTCGGCCAAAAACGCATGAAAATCAATTCGGAAAGCTGTTCTGAGTTGCCCTTTCTAAGCTTAACAAAACTGCATACTCAGTTTTGCTCAAATACTTACCTATAATTTATAAAAAATTTAAGTAAAAAATCAGAAAAACCCTCATAACTCGGCCAAAAACGCATGAAATTCAATTCGGAAAGCTGTTCTGAGTTGCCCTTTCTAAGCTTAACAAAACTGCATACTCAGTTTTGCTAAAATACTTACCTATAATTTATAAAAAATATAAGCAAAAAATTACAAAAACCTTTATAACTCGGCCAAATATGCATGAAATTCAATTTGGAAAGCTGTTCTGAGTTGCCGTTTCTAAGCTTAATAAAACTGCATACTCAGTTTTGCTAAAATACTTACCTATAAAAATGTGAACCACACAACTCGGCCAAAAATGCACGAAATTCAAAACTTAGTATGCAGTTTTGTTAAGCTTAAAAAAGGCAACTCAGAACAGCCTTCCAAATTGAATTTCATGCATTTTTGGCCGAGTTATGAGGGTTTTTTATAAATTATAGGCATCTCACTAGCTGCCAGTGATGCTCATCCCATTTTCTACAAATAATGCAAAAAATAGCTAGATGAGCATCACTGATGCACATGAGCATTACTGCCCGATTTTATTGCCCCTAATATTGAAATATAGCCAAGTGAGCAAAAATTTCCATCCAATTTGGCCGCTTCCAAACTTTGGTAACAGGCGAACAGAAACCAGCAGCAAGCAACTGAAAACTGGTATAAACTGTTATAAAAAGTCCAAGTTTCGAACCATTTAGGAGCCGGCGCAAGTAAGCGGAGACTCAAACCTTTTGATTCCAAATTAAGGTGTTATTTAACAACTGCAACTTGATGGCAAGCAACAACAACCTTTTTACAACATCCCTACAGCAGCCCATCCAAATTTCCGAACATTTCCATGCAAATTGCCCGTTTCCCAAATTGGGGTAACAGGCGAACAGAAATCAGCAGCAAGCAACTGAAAACTGGTATAAACTGTTATAAAAAGTCCAAGTTTCGAACCATTTAGGAGCCGGCGCAAGTAAGCGGAGACTCAAACCTTTTGATTCCAACGTCCAGTTTCAGTGTGCCCAGGTGCGTTTTAGCAACATTTTAGCCAAAAAATTTACAATATGGTCACACCTGGTTTGAGTCTTCGCTTACTCCAAGATCAATGGTTCGAAACTTGGACTTTTTATAACAGTTTATACCAGTTTTCAGTTGCTTGCTGCTGGTTTCTGTTCGCCTGTTACCCCAGTTTGGGAAACGGGCAATTTGCATGGAAAATTTCAGAAATTTGTATGGGCTGCTGCAGGGATGTTGTTGTAAAAAGGTTGTTGTTGCCATCAAGCTGTTGTTGTCGGCAACAAATAGGTATGAATGCATAAAATGGAATATAACAGTTTATACCAATTATTATTTTTGCCCAGAAGTTTTTATAACAGTTTATACCAGTTTTCAGTTGCTTGCTGCTGGTTTCTGTTCGCCTGTTACCCCAGTTTGGAAGCGGCCATATTTTAGAAATTTTGCTCACTTGCATCAGTGATGCTCATCTGCATCAGTGATGCTCATCTGGCTATAATTAAATATTGGGGGGGGGGGGCAAAAAATCGGGCTTAATGTCAGTGGTGCTCATGTGCATCAGTGATGCTCATCTTGCAATGCATTTTTGCAATATTGGGGGGCAATAAAATCGGGCTATATGGCAGTGATGCTCATCTAGCTATTTTGCCATATTGGGAGGCTATAAAATCAGGCTTAACGGCAGTGATACGCATCTAGCTATTTTGCATTATTGGAAGAAAATGGCATTTCACTGTCAGTGATGCTCATCTAGCTATTTTGCAATATTGGGACAAAATAGCATCTCACTAACTGCCAGTGATGCTCATCTAGCTATTTTGCATTATTGGGACAAAATGGCATCGCACTACCTGCCAGTGATGCCCAGTTAGCTATATTGCAATATTGGGAGAAAAATGCATCTTACCTTACATCAGTGATGCCCATGCAGCTATACAATAAATAAATAAATAAATACAAATAATTGGAATACTTTCCACCATATATATTTTATTTTTATAAATATAATTGTACAAAAATCGTTAGTAATAGTAATAATTTACAGTATGGCTGGCGAGAATCCCTCGGAAAAGCTCCCCTGGCTCCCCTGCGCTCCGCCGCCGCCGCCGCGGCTGCTATTGCTCACCCGCCGGCTGAAGGTGGGGTATTCAGCCGCAACCGCCGTAGCCGCCCTGATCCGCCGCCGCATCCCTGCTCCGCCGCCGAAATCCCTGCTGGCAGAAGGCTGGAGCCGGCGGCTGGCGAGGATCCCTCAGAGAAGCGCCTGCTGGCAGCAGGCTGGAGCCGGCGGCTGGCGAGGATCCCTCGGAAAAGCGCCTGCTGGCAGCAGGCTGGAGCCAGTGGCGGGCGAGGATCCCTCGGAGAAGCGCCTGCTGGCAGCAGGCTGCAGCCGCCGGCTGGCGAGGATCCCTCGGAAAAGCGCCTGCTGGCAGCAGGCTGGAGCCGGCGGCTGGCGAGGATCCCTTGGAGAAGCGCCTGCTGGCGAGGATCCCTCGGAGAAGCGCCTGCTGGCAGCAGGCTGGAGCCGGCGGCTGGCGAGGATCCCTCGGAGAAGCGCCTGCTGGCAGCAGGCTGGAGCCGGCGGCTGGCGAGGATCCCTCGGAGAAGCGCCTGCTGGCAGCAGGCTGGAGCCGGCGGCTGGCGAGGATCCCTCGGAAAAGCGCCTGCTGGCAGCAGGCTGGAGCCGGCGGCTGGCGAGGATCCCTTGGAGAAGCGCCTGCTGGCGAGGATCCCTTGGAGAAGCTACTGCTGGCAGCAGGCTGGAGCCGGCGGCTGGTGAGGATTCCTCGGAAAAGCGCCTGCTGGCAGCAGGCTGGAGCCAGTGGCGGGCGAGGATCCCTCGGAGAAGCGCCTGCTGGCAGCAGGCTGCAGCCGCCGGCTGGCGAGGATCCCTCGGAGAAGCGCCTGCTGGCAGCAGGCTGCAGCCGCCGGCTGGCGAGGATCCCTCGGAAAAGCGCCTGCTGGCAGCAGGCTGGAGCCAGTGGCGGGCGAGGATCCCTCGGAGAAGCGCCTGCTGGCAGCAGGCTGCAGCCGGCGGCTGGCGAGGATCCCTCGGAAAAGCGCCTGCTGGCAGCAGGCTGGAGCCGGCGGCTGGCGAGGATCCCTTGGAGAAGCGCCTGCTGGCGAGGATAATAAATAAATAATAAATAAATAATATATAAAAAATATATAAAAACAAATAAATAAATTCTGGCCGGAAAATTATCATTAATAATTATTTTTCTCAAAAGGTATTCATTTCCGACCCCATAAACCATATATATTCTTGATCAGCATCAACAGGCGAATCGTTTAAGACATGTCCGGGCAAATTTTTTTTTCGAGCCATTTTTTCAATATTTTATAAGGGGTTACATCATTAAAATTCTCGAAAATTGGCCAAAAATTTAATTTTTAAAAAACAAAAAAGGAGTATGCAGATTTGTTAAACGTATAAAAACTAACACAAAGCCGTTTTCCGAATTGAATTTAAAGCATTTTTGGCTTAGTTATAGATGTTTGAAATTTCGATTTTTCCAAATTTTTTAAATTGTTTCTTTAAAAAAAATTATATAAAATTATAGGTAAACATTTTTATTAAATTAAGTAAGCAGTTTTATTAACCTTTAAAAAATTAACTCAGAACAGCTTTCCGTATTGAATTTAAGACATTTTTAACTGAGTTACAGATTTTTAAAATTAGAACTTTCCCCAAAAAGTTGAACCTTTTTTTAAATTTTATGTTTAAAAAATTTGGCCAAAAATGAAGTTAGAAAAAACCTTAAATGAAGTATGCAGATTTGTAAATCTTATTAAAACTAACAAAAAACAACATCCAAATCAATTTGATGCTTTTTTATGGTTAAAATATTTTCAAACATTTTTTTGTCCAAAAATTCTTGATATCAAATCATAGATAAATATCCATTTAAAAATTTTAATATTTTCGGTCTTCCTGAAGGGAATTTATAATTTTTTCAGTGAAGCATCCATTTCCGACCCTATAAACCATATATATTCTTCATCAGCATTAACAGGCGAATCGTTTAAGACATGTCCGGGCAACAATTTTTTTTGAGCCAATTTTCAAAAATTTTATAAGGGGTTACATCATTAAAATTCTCAAAATTTGATAAAATTTTGAATTTTTAACTAAGTATGCAGATTTGTTAACCTTATAAAAACTAACATAACACCGCTTTCCGAATGAAAATTAATGCGTTTTTGACAGTGTTATGCCATTTTTAGTTTCTAATTTGCTATTTTTCTCTTTTCAATTACAGACAATTACAGAATTTTTTAGAGAGAAATGCATATAATTCAATTTGGAAACAAGCTGGCCGTTATATTAAAGTATTTCATTGTAAGATTAAATGTAAAAAAGTTATGATAATAATTAAATAAATGTTTGTTTTAAAAATTGTTGCTTTTGCTGTAAAAGTTTGCAACTCGGGCAGATCTTACCTGGAGCTCCTATTTTTCTGGCACATTAACATTCCGGATCGAAACTGCCATGGGACTTTGACTTTTGGCACTTGTTTTGGCACCGAGCGGTGCTCCCATCCTTATCCCTGATACCTGTTCCCCTGTCTCCAGCCTTTCGCCTGTGCCGTTGGTCCTTCTTTCCCATGGTTCTTGGCCGGGTGTCAGGTCTAGGCTAGAAAACAGCTCTTGAGGCAGCG